TTACTAAAGATGTGTTTGTTATGACCTCTAGAATTGCAGCTGCAACCCAAATCGTTTTCTTCAGGATTCTATTTTCATCATTGCAGGACTCTGTTTTGGTGCCCTGTCATTGATTTAGACTGGAACTTGTCTGTGAAAATCGATGTAAGGTAGTTTTCTTTGGTATGTGCCAGATATAGCAGAAGCACACTATACCTGATCCGGAAGCTGAAGCAGCCATTGATTCACAATGATCAAGAGTTTAGTGCCTCCTGCCTTCAGGCTCAGTGCTGAATGGGAATGGTTCCATTTATAATTTGTTTTCATCCTTTGTTGTTACTAAAACAAAATTCCTGAATTTTGGTGCTTATAAAGAAAAGAGGTGGTTTATGCAGCTCACAGATTTAGAGGTTCAAAGTCCCAGATCGGGTGGCCCCATCTGTTTGGCTTCTGCTAAGGACCTCATGGTGGACAGCATCACAAAGCTCTGTGTTGGGGGACCAAATGGCAAGAGAGGAAGCCAGAGGTCAGCTCATTCCCTTTTATAGGAACCCACTCTCGGGGGAACCGTGATTAATGCCTCCCGAAGCTGATCACCTCCCAGCAGACATGGCTCTTGCAGGTTCCTCCACCACACTGGAGACCAGCCTCCAAAGGAACCACATCTGAAGGCTGACACTGCTCTTAGACAGTGTCACTTGATCAGGGACCTCCCCCTCCCAGCAAATGCAGCTGACAAATGGGCTGTTTCTTGTGTCTTGTGACTAAAGCCCTCTAACCATCTTGTCTCTGACATGAGACTTTGGTCAAGATAGCTAAGTTTCCTCCATGGAAAGTCCAACTGTTGGTCAGAGGCCCATCCCCCACGATTTGGGGAGCCAACAAGGCCTTCTGAATACTGAATGTTGTTTTTAACCTTCTTTCTTTCTTTCTTTCTTTCTTTCTTTCTTTCTTTCTTTCTTTCTTTCTTATTTATTTATTTTAAGTAAATTTTTATTTTTTATATTAATTACAGTTTATTCACTTTGTATCCCAGCTGTAGCCCCCTCCTCCCCTCCCAATCCCACCCTCCCTCTTCATCTCCTCCCATGCTCCTCTCCAAGTCCACTGATAGGGGAGGTCCTCTTCCCCTTCCATCTGACCCTAGCTTATCAGGTCTCATCAGGACTGGCTATATTGTCCTCTTCTGTGGCCTGGCAAAGCTGTTCCCCACTCAGGGGGAGGTAATAAAAGAGCCAGCCACTGAGTTCATGTCAGAGACAGTCCCTGTTCCCCTTACTAGGAAACCCACTTGGATACTGAGCTACCATGGGCTACCTCTGAGCAGAGGTTTTAGGTTATAGTCATGAATGGTCCTTGATTGGAATATCATTCTCAGAAGAGACCCCTGTGTCCAGATTCTTTGGTTCTGTTGTTCTCCTTGTGGAGCTCCTGTCCTCTCCAGGTCATACTATCTCCCCCTTCTTTCATCAGATTCCCTGCACTCTGCCCAAAGTTTGGTAATGAATCTCAGCATCTGCTTTGATACACTGCTGGATAGAGTTAACCTTACTTCTCACCTTTGACCTTTCTATACCAAAGAACTTCTGTTGCTTTAGTTTTTAGAAAATCTGTAGACTTGCAACTTTTACATATACTAATAATTTATCCCTACATTTTATCACTAAATTCAAGGCAACATAATATCTATTTGGATTTAAACAATAGCTGGAAAGTTCTAAGAAAAAGGCCTCAGTTGGAAACCCTCCAGAAATACTTATTTTCCCTAAAGCTGCCCATGCTATCTGCAAAAGGAGGAGTACCTAATCCTTCCAGACTTCCATGAAGGGCTGCCTGAGAGTTTATCAGATTGACTTTCTGCCTGTGCCAAGGAGTTACCCTGTTTGTGCAAAGAGACTTTGAGGATTAATAAGTAACAGGGCAACCACACATGGATTTCTGAGTATTACAAATATTTAAATGTTTCTGATATGTACACTTTGGGAAATAAAGCTGGATGTGGTTCATTTGTTCTACATAGGTCGTCTTAAGAGAAAGACTTACATGTCAGTAAATCTGGAGATCTAAGATGACCTCTGATCAGTGTCAGGGTTAGGTCTCCTGAGGAACTTTCAAATTCTCCTATTGCAGCAGTGTGTGGTAAATGCAGAGAGGACTGGGAGGCTTAGTGTGGCCACCCCAGGGTGCTGTCACACCGAGCACCTGAGTTTCCAGCATTCTTCATACTGAAAACTATTGACACAAAAGCAATCAGCTTTGTAGAAACGAGGCAACATGAGGTTACCCTTCAGATGTGCCTCATTAGGAAGAACTGTATTCTGACCACAGGCAGCTGTGAGTGACCAGATCCTGAAACAGGGGGCTGAGGAGAGAGCCATCGCAGGTGGTGTGATAGAGGTCTCGAGGGGAGGCATCTCTCAGTTCCCAGAACTAGGAGGTTTCACCTGCTAGGGACAGTGTGAAGGGAGAGAGAGGGCTTCAGCCCTCAGTTTTGGCACCAGTAGGCTAGGTTCCGCTATTGAGATGGCTTCGCAGGTAGAGGCGCATGCCCAATGGCCTGAGTTTGAGCCCTGAAACCTGTCTTTACAAAGATCAAATGAGAGAACTGACTCCATGAACGTGTCCCCTGAATTCCATCTGTGTGCTACAGCATGTACATGGCCCCAGCATGTATGTGCATATAGCACACACACACACACAAGGTTTTTTTTTTTTTAATATAAGAATGAAAGCAGTAACAGAAAGAGAGGCTAAAATGAATTGCCCTTCAGAAGCACTCTACTGAAGATCTATATGCTCATGGCCACAGACAGCTGTGATGAGTCCTGAGGGGGCACATTTGGAGAGTGTAAGTAGGCTTCTCTAGAGGAACAGAACTGATAGAATGAATATATATTTATATGTGTGTGTATGTATGTATGTATGTTTACGGGATTTATTAGAGTGGCTTATGTGCTGTGGTCCAACTATTCCAACAATAGCTGTCTCCTGGTGGAAAGTCTAAGAATCCAGTAGTTGTTCAGTCCATGAGGCTGGATGACTCAGCTGGTCTTACAGCAGATATTTGAACTCCAAAACGGTGGGCTCTGATGCCAGTGAAGGAATGAACTTGCCAGTGAATGTGAGGACAAGCAGGCAAAAAGCAAGTGTTTCCTCTTTCCATGTCCTTTATATAGGCTGCCACCAGAAGGCGTGGCCCAGATTTAAGGTGGATCTTCCCACCTCAAAAGATCCAGATTTAGGGTATGTCTTACCACCCAAATGATTCAAGCCAGAAGGATCCTTCAAAGGTGTGTCTGGCTGCCTGGGTTTTAGATAATTCCAGATGAAGTCATGTTGACAGCAAGCACCACATCGCAGGAGCATGACAAGGTCTTGCACAGATAACATTCAGATAACCACAGCACAAAGGGAGTTTCTGATTCTTGCAAGTTTTCAGAGGAGGTAGGGAAGAGGTTCCATGTGACAAAGCCAATGTGGTCTCTGACACGGAGGAAGGCTGTAAACAAGAGACGAATGTTACAGTGGAAGGTTCTGCTGTCCAGGGGCTCAAAAGGTGTGGTCTGATTTCTGGGCAAGAGACAGACAGTTAGAGGGTCTAACGAACACAGTACACCTGTGCATGTGTTGTTGACATTTATTTTGCACTTTTGCAAGCCAGCATAGTTGCAGTCCTAAAAATAGAAACCAGGCTAGATGTATTAGGCAGGGGTGGACTTAACAAGAGGATTAAAAACAGGAAAGAAAGGTAGACACTGCAGTCTTGGTGGTGAACCACCAAAAGTGTGGCCCAGATCAAAGTTGGATCTTTCCACTTCAATCAGTCAGATAACCTTTGCCTCCAAGTGGCTAGGTTAGAGCTGCAAGCACTGAATGACTCCTCCAGCCACCAGCTACCGTGTCACAGCCAGAGTGAGAGCAGGAACTCTGTCCAGATGAGAATCAGAACCCTCTGGTCTCACACCAGCTCCCTAAGCCCAAGCCGCTCCACACTGTCGCAGGAACCTGAGCAACGCAACATCCATCTTTGTCCCCTGGCATGCAGAAAGCACAGAAAAGCAGGCACTCTCTGGCCCAGTGAGCTCTCCCAGTATTTCAGAAAATGTTAATAGGAATCTATTTTCAATTAATCCTATATAACTACAGGCTATAAAAATCCTTTCTGATCGTTGCTCTTAAGAGGAGTTAAAAAAGATAATCCGTTTTATAACTGAAATATTGTGTGGGCTTAACAACAATTGGGAGCATTTCAATTGGTACGACGTAAAAGAAGCCAGTGAATCTTGTTAAGAAGGTCGCTCCTGCCAGGGGCCAGGGGCCTGTTTCCTATTCTCCCTAACCCTGCTATTTAAAGTTCAGTGGTTTGAAGAAAATCCTACTATGTGGGTTTTTATATTTGACACTGCTCAGTTTTTTTTTTCTAAAGCAAAATGTTGGCTTTTTTGGTCACAATCTGCTCCCTGAGTTTCCTTGTACACTTCTCTACACGTGTTTGCTACATGCCTAAGTCCAGTACGCAATTATTCCAGATAATCATACACGTGGTTATACAATAAGAACCATACCTTCGAGAACTTGAAGTCATGATAATATCCTTTACTATGTCAGGATGGTTAGACTGTCACAGAAGGATTTTAAAAATTAAATGTCAATTTCTGTATGTCAACTTCACTGCAAGTAGAAGTGTAAATTTCATGCTGTATGATTTTGGCAGGCGGTTACCATAGCACTGACAAGCCATAGACACACATAAACATTGTTTTAAAATGTCAGTATTCATAGTATACTAGGAATCAGATCCTTTGCATCTATTTAAACTGACAAAGAAAATATGCACAGATCAGTGTGTGTGTATGTATGTATACTTACATATGTATGTATATGCCTGTGATGCATTCCCTAATTTCGTGTGAGGCAAGTATAAGCTAAACTCTTGTAAAGATGGCTGACATATACTAGAGGCCAAGTTTTGAAGATGAACCTGCCCAGGTATCTCCATGTCTATTTCTTTGTTTCCCCAGTTTGACCTTGTCTGTGTCAATGCCTGGATGTTGGACCTCACCCAAGCCGTCCTGAACCTTGGCTTCCTGGCTGGGGCATTCACCTTGGGCTATGCGGCAGACAGGTAAGCATGGGTAAGACAACCGGTTAGTTTACTAAACCACACCACCTGTGTATGGGAAAGAAAATGCTTTCTATTACCTTCATTCAGTTCTCTGTTCCATTCACACTTGCTTGGTCTGACTAATTCTTTCCTTCTCAAATGTCCTCCCCTGTCCTCGGTGGGAAAAGTGCGCCTGTGGGTCTGAAAGCATCCCAGTGAAAACACTGACCTCAGGGCAGAGATGTGAGGGCTCAGGTGACAGGGGAGGGGTTGATTCGGGCACTCAAAACAGTCCAGTGGCCAGGATTTGGTTAATTCAGTCATGAGGTCAGCCATGAGGTCAGCCACTCCACATTTTTTCACTTAAAAAAAAATTCTTATATTTTATTCTACAAATTGTATTAAAACTCTGAAAAGAAGCCTTTTGGAATTACTGGGGGATTTTGATGCACTTTTCATTTCATTCCTCAATGGCTCCAGTTTGGAAATGGATTGCATTTTTCCAGTTTTTCTTTGGGTTGATTTCACTTCTGGTTTTGTCTTTTGTTTGTTTGTTTGTTTGTTTTAAACAGAGTCCCACTGTATATATTAGACAAGACTCAAACTTAGAATCCCCCTGCCTGAGTGCTGAGATTGCAGGCATGCACCACCACGCCAGCTATTTTTTACTATAACTTTTTTTTTTAAAATTAGGTTTGCTTCTTCTGTACTTTATCGTGCATGATCGATAAATATATCTCCTAAAATAGCTCTACATGGGAGAGAACCCAAGCTGTAGGCAGGGGCTGAACGTCTTCCCTTGTAGGTGACTTAGTTCTTTGGAGTGAATGAGCCAGAATTGAGAGAGAGAGAGAGTTGTAGAAACCCTGCCTCCTATCAGCACTGATCACCTTTAGGTGTCTTCCCTTCCTCCATGTATGTCAGAGATTCGTATTCCATAAAGAAGGGATGAGAGGTATTTTAATAGGCGTGTATCTGTGAGAAGACAGAGTGGTGGGGGCTAGGAGTGAGCTTAAGAGTTTGAATCAGGGCTTCCAAGTGAAGAGCTCGGTGTTGCCACTCAGGCCTAACAAGTATGAGGCTGAGCAAGTTAGAAAGTCAGCAACTCTTCCCAGATATAGGCCACAGGGAAAACTGCTGCTCCCTAAGTTGGAGGGCCTGGCAGATACAAGTAGCTGTCACTTACTAGGGCAGAAGCTGCTGGGTAATGAAAACTTGACCTGAATTGCTGGAGTGTTGGAGGGCAGCGTGTGAACAATGCTGAGAGTTAGAAACCTAGGAGCTGTCTCAGGGCATAGGCTAGTTGTATAGCAAAGGGAGGAAGAAAGGAGAGAGAAAAAAGCGAGAGAGGAAAAAAGCAAACTCCAAGGGGACTTTAGTCATCAGATTTCCTGGACCTGGAGTTACAAATGGTTGTGAGCCCTGGTATGGGTGCTGGGAATTGAACTCAGGTCCTCTGGAAGGACAGAAAATGCTCTTCACTGCTGAGCTATCTGTCCAGGCCCCATGTTTGTATTTTTACCACTTGTAAGTCTACCAAGTTTTCATAGTTACTGTCAAGAGAAATCTTTTCATGTGTCTGTTCCTAATGAGTCCAGCTCTCAGAAAATATGCACACACACACACACACACACACACACACACACACACACACATTAAAAGCAAACAAACAAACCTCAAAACAACCCACCCCAAACTGAGCCTGGTTAATTAGAAGCTATTCTGAAGGTTTATCAATGTCAGGCCTGAGGGTGAGGAGCTAAATAGACAAACCCAGCCCATTCTAATCACCACCTAATTTAATTCTACTCACCATATCCCAATTAAGGTGACAAAGAAAAGGCCCTAGAAATGTCTGTGATGTCATTGTCCACAGGCTAAAAGAAACAATTAAGATTTAATCACAGGACTTTGTAAAAAAAGAACCATAGAGCATACTAAAGAGTGAAGCAAAGCAAACCATAAGCCAGCAGACAAATGCACAACTTGAACATGGACAGAACACATCAGAGCCAGACGTGGTCATGGCAAGGATGCCAGAACTGTCAAGCCAGAAAAAAAATTGATTGATAAATGTAGTGGGTAAATAGACAATGCAAACAAAGATGGAAATTTTGATTCTAAGACCCAAAAAGAAATGCCAAAGATCAAGCATTGTGTAATGAAGAATGTCATTAATGGTTTGTTAGAAATGGCTCAGTGGGTAAAGTGCTTGCTGTCCACATACAAGAACTTGATTTGAATTCTCAGCACCCACATAAAAGTGAGCATGGTGATACATGCCTCTAACTCCAGTTCTGGAAGGTGGGGACAGGGACAAAAGGGTTACTGACACTTGCTATCCAGCCTGGATGAATTGGCAGATTCTAGCTTCAGCGGGGTTCCCCTTACCCTGATACTGGGTCTCATTTAGCTAAGGTTAGCCTTGACTGCTGTTTAGTCAAGGGTGACTTTGAACTTCTGGTTGTCCTGTGTCTACCTACTAAGTGCTAGGATACAAACACATACCACCATTGTAGGGGTTCATGAATCCTAGACAGAACTCTATTACCTAAGCTACACCCGGCCCAAGACCCAGTCTCAACAAAACAAGCAATTTTTAGAGTGGACCAAAAGAAGACCCAACAACACAGAAACTCACTTTACGTGCAAAGTTGGACACAGTGATGGGTATCTGAATGGAGAAACATATACCATACTAGAAATAACCAAAACCAAGTAGAACTCATTATAGTAATACTAACTAGGACAAACTTTACAAGGAATACACAGGGTTAATTATAATTACTCAACAATCTTTGACACATATGTGTCTAACAACAGAATATCAAGATGTAGGATGCAAAAATTGATGGAACCATAAGGAGAAACAAATGAATTCCTCATTGTATTTGGAGACTCTCATTTCTGATACTTTGTATCTGAAATGTAAAAAAAATCCAACCAACAGAATTTTGCAACCCAGATGTAACTGAATTCAACACCACCACCAATCAACTGGATACATTGGCCATCTACAGATTGCTTTATCCACCAACAGTAAAATACAGGTTCTTCTCAATATGTGAGAGACACTAATAAAGTTCATATTCTGGGCTATAAAATAATTTTAACAAAATTAAAGGAATAGAAAGTCATACCACATGTGATCTTTGACTCCAAGAAATTAAACCATAAATCTGTAACAGGAAACTGGAAACCCCCCAAATACTTGGAAATTAAGCATTGTACTTCTGCTGATATGGAGTAGAAATCTCAAGAGAAATTTAAAGTATTTTAAACACAGTGAAGATACAAAACAATTTATCAGGTTTTTATGGGTGCAGCAAAACAATGAAGAAGGAAAGTTACAGCATTAATATGTTTACCAGAACATAAGATTTATCATAAAATCCATGATCTGAGTTTATACAGTAAGTGATAATAACAACAAAGATGACCAAATTAAATACAAAACAAACAGATTAAAACTAATAATACAAATTAGAACCGAAGAAAGAAAGAAAGAAAGAAAGAAAGAAAGAAAGAAAGAAAGAAAGAGAGAAAGAAAGAAAGAAAGAAGTTGAAAACAGTAAGTCAGCAGAGAAATTTAATAAAGTCAAAAGTTGGCTCTTTGGAAAGCCCCTAAATCTAGTAACTTTTTAGCCAAGCAAATTAAGAAAAAAAGAGATAGGACTCAAATTAATGATGGCTTAAAATGGCTTTAAATTCTATAGTCTTTAAAAAGATAATAAAGGATCAATGTAAATGATTCTATAGCCCCAGATTTGACAAGCAAGATCAGCGGGCTTGTTCTTTGAAAGACATAACTCACATGGAAGTGAATCATTTTAATAGTCTAGTAAATAAATCAAATCAGTAGTTAATAACCTTCACAAAAAGGAAATTCCAGGTTCCGATTTGAAACAGGTAAATTCTACCATGTAGCAAATAAATTACACCTAGTTGTCTCTGGTTTGTTTGTCTGTTTGTTTGTTTTTCAGATAATAAGGGAAGAAGAAACACATTCTAACTTTTCTGTGGACTCAGCCTTACCTTCCTGCCCAAACCAGACAAACATATTAGAAGAAAATAAAACCCCATTAGCTTTTAAAAGCATAGATTCAAAAACATAGAATAGGGGTTGGAGAGATGGCTCAGTGGTTAAGAGCACTGGCTGCTCTTGCAGAGGACCCAGGTTTGAATCCCAGCACCTTCATGGCAGCTCACACTCATCTATAACTCCAGTTCTAGGGGAATCAGACGCCCTCTTCTGGCCTCTGCAAGCACTGCACACGTGTGATGTGGAGATACATTCAGGCAATAACAATTTTAAAAACATAATTTTAAATGTTAATTCACATATAATAACTTTAAAACCAAATAAATACAGGCTTATAGATAGTTAGCAACTGTGTAGAACCACAGGAACCGTTGTTCGTTGCTGGTGGGACATATATGGCATAGCAGAGAGAAAGTCAGTTTGTCGGTTTCTTATAAAATGAAATGCATAGGACTAGAAATTACGGTTTTGGTATTTACCCAATGACTCTGAAAACGTACAGCCACACAGAAACTCTCACGTGGACCTTACAGCAGATTTATGTACAACTGCCAGCCTCCGGAGCAGCTAAGATGTTCTGCAACAGGTGAATGGACTTTATGATCCGTGATATGTCCGGACAGTGCAATATTACTCCACACTCAAAAGAAACAAGTTAGGAACCCCGAAAAGATATAGAGGAAACTTAAGCCCATACTGCTAAGCTCAAGAGGCCAATCTGAAAAGGCTATATACTGTACGATTCCATCTATAGGACATTCTAGAAAGTTTCCAACTATGGAGGTGGTGGGAAAGCCTGTGGTTGCCTGGGATGAAGCATGACCATTAAGAACAAATAAGGGGTTCCATCATTTTTTCATGCCTACTAGCAATGAATTAGGGACCTGAGAGTCTTCTAGTGATATGGAAGAGTGCCTACACCCTGCAGAATATCCAATCCAAGAGTGAACCTTGGGGTGGGGTGTAACAGTGGCAGAGCACTTGGCCTTGTGTGTGCAGGTCTCTGGGTTTGGTCCCTGGCATTGAAATGCAAATCCCCAAATCCTAGTGTGAACTGTAGACCTGTGTCATGACATGCGTAATGATATGCCACCTTACACTTATTAACTGTTACAGAGGCATCACTCGGTGTGGGGGGGAGGGGTCAGTGACAGGATAAGCCATGTCTATGTGAAAGGAAGGGTGTACAAGAACTATTTTCTGTTGAAATTCTGCTCAAACCAAAAACTGCTTTAAAAAAATAAAATTGACTTTGAAAACGTACTGGTAAATTAAGGTTTCTTCTATCTCTGCCCTTGATGCAAAGATGCAGAAGTAAGAATGTTGTTGCAGATATCGGTAAGGAAAATAACAAGGAATGAAAGCTCTCAATGCTGACAGTGAACTCCCACGAGCCGGTCATCTGTCACAACTACCAGGAATCGCTTCACACCAGACTGGAGAAACTGACCACAGTAGCCTGTCCCTTTGTCTGAGCTACTTGGCTACACTTCTATAAATCTCTCTCTCACACACACATATCAATACCAAAGTGCAATGATCAGGAACCCTATAAATACTTGTCATATTAGAACCTCCTTTGTTCCTCTTCACCACTTTTTCTAGAAAGCAGAGGCGGATGAGGAAGCAGACAGATTGTGAGTCTCAGAGAGCTTAGGAGTTTGCCCAAGCTCATGACTGGTAACTGGATGGGGCAAGACTGAAGTGGGGGTTTCTGCAATGTGCCATGGCTGCTTCATTCCACGCCACCTTCCCAAGACTGCACCCACAAAAATGATGACAAATGGAGGGACCAGGCCAGAAGGAAAGCTGTGTGCTCAAGAGTAGCCTTGCAGAGGGGGTGACCGGTGGGAAATCTTCAGTCTCAAAGGACATGTTGTGGGCTGCTAGTTTCTTAATGTCATCGGGAGATGAGTTCCATTTGCTCTGGGTTTCAGAGGTAATGTTATAAATGTTGTTTACTGCAATGCTAAGTTACACTTTTTTTTTTTTTTTTTTTTTTTTTTTGCACATTTGGCTTCTTTCTGTATCCTCTCTAATCCTGTTTCTCTTATGTTGAAAACAAAGTTTAAGTTTCTCTTTCTTCACTCTCTCATGAAGGTACGGCAGGATAATCATTTACCTAATATCCTGTTTCGGCGTCAGCATCACAGGAGTCGTGGTGGCATTTGCACCAAATTTTTCTGTGTTTGTGATCTTCCGCTTCCTGCAAGGGGTTTTCGGGAAGGGGGCATGGATGACTTGCTTCGTGATTGGTAAGACTTGTCGAAACCACTCCTCTGTGTGAAAACTAGAGTGGGGAGGGGTCTGGCTCGGCATTCCCCAACACTAAACCCTAGAGACCTTCTTGCAGCACTTCCTTAAGTAGGACAGAGGCTTGGGGTGGGATTCTGGCTGCTGCAGAGACTGGGAACCGGATGTAGAATATGAACACTGCCCCTAGCTTATGTTACTTTGGTCCAGGCTGCTCCCTTTGGCTCTCATTCTATTTCGAGTCTAAACCAACCACCTACTTTAAGTGGTGGAGATTCGTGACCAAGGAAATGAGAGACATCACCTGATATCATTGTCCCAGATGTTTGGACTGCTAATCCCTCCCATGACTACTGTGTTAGACTCGAGCAGGGGTGTTTTAGATACCCGAAGCTCTTTTGATGATGGAAAAAGGAGAGAAGGTACAAGGAGGGACTGAGTCACTGGCTGGCACAGAGAGAAAACTGAAGTGTGTGGCATTTTTAACATGACCCAAGTCTATAGTGATGTTCGAAATTAGTTAGGTCAGCCACAAGGCAGTGAGTGTACCTCAGGATGGTGAGAACAGAAAAATCAGTTAGTGGGAAAGGGTGGAGGAGGTGAGGATTCCGGCAACCAATTTCCCAGCTGGATTTCTAGAGATCTGTTACATACATGAAAAGTCAAACCCCAGGCACAGTGGCAGGTGCCTTTGATCACAGCACTTGGGGAGGTAGAGGCAGGCAGATCACTGTGAATTTGAGGCCAGCCTGGTCTATAAAGCAAGCCCAGGACAGCCAAGGGTACACAGAGAAACCCTGTCTTGAAAAAAAAAAATAACCAAAAATTCAAACAACAGGATTCATAATCTAAACTGTCTTGTGGTGATGGAAAGTGCTGGCAGAGTCTGTCCATGGTAACTCTTCCAGAGAGTCTATAATGTACAAATCCTTAGAATTATGAGGATAAAGTTGAGCTAGCTTGCTATGTTTATTTTGATAATAATTACAATGACCTTCACAACAGCCATGTTGAGGAGTCCTAAAACCAGCACAGGTGTTTGTTGTACTCCTCAACCATTCCCAAAGGGTGCTGGCCTGGATGTCTGAGGATCAGGGCAGGGTAAAGTGCATGTGAAGAGCCTAGGAAGTCATCTCCATCAGTTCTGCACATATGAAAGCCCCTGTGCCTGTACAAGTTAGAACATTCCAACAATGCTGATAGATTGTTACCAGGTATCACGTCTGCTTGTTTTAGTGCTGACTGAGAACTTTCCTAATCGCTTGTGTCTGTTTTCCTCCAGTGACAGAAATAGTAGGTTCAAAACAGAGGAGGATTGTGGGAATAGTGATCCAGATGTTCTTCACCCTTGGAATCATCATCCTCCCTGGGATTGCCTACCTCACCCCCAGTTGGCAGGGCATCCAGCTAGCCATCTCACTTCCCAGCTTTCTCTTCCTCCTTTATTACTGGTGAGACAACTTTGGTCTTTATTGTACTTATCCTATTGCACGTGAACATTGACTCCAAGCCAACATGAAAATGAAGCAGATAAAGGAGATTTTTCTCAATCTCCAGAATGCATATGGCTAAGAAAATTATTAGAGAATTGAGGACAACTTATAGATATTATTGGTTGCTTCATTGACAGTTGTCACTACAAATAGTAAAATACCCCAGTGCCAAATTCCAGATTAGGTGGTTGCGTTATGATTTATCCATTTGCAATGCTTTCCTGAAAACTATGAAATAACAAACTCAGTATTTCAACATGCATATTGAATTTGATAAAAATCCATTAAGCAAATTAACATTCTCTGATGAATAAGATGTTAAAAATGTCAGAGAATTAAATTCTCGAGATATTCCAGATATATGCATTTGACTCTTACTGGAGCAGGGAGGATATGATTTTTCCCCTCATTGAATTTTAATGTACGGGTAAACCAGGCTCCATGAATAAGGTAAAGGTTTTGCCTTTTCCTAAACACTCACTCAGCCCTAACCCTTTTCAGGTTTGTAATCAGGAAAACAGAACTGCAGGGTGCCCAGCTCTTACAAAAGCTATGTACTGTGGAGAAGTATTTTTATAGCCAAGTCAGTGTTTTTCCCACTTGTAAATTTGCAAGGAAAATTCATTTCTGAAAGCCTGTTTTCAACCCTGAGAACTGTCCTAACTTGTAAGCTGTTCACTGCAAGATTCTTTTGGCTAGAAAAACTCCTGAGCTTTTGGGTTTCCAGGTTTCTAGCCTAATTCAAGAATCCTCTCCCCTCTCACCAGGGTGGTCCCTGAGTCTCCCAGATGGCTGATCACTAGGAAGCAAGGAGAGAAAGCCTTGCAGATCTTGAGGCACGTGGCTAAGTGCAACGGGAAACACCTCTCACCAAATTACTCAGAGGTAATGTCACTAATCACCGGGATAAGCTGTTAAATTGGGCAAATTAATTCCTTATGACTTCTGTGCTTAATGGTCCTTCTTAAAATTATACATGTATATTATTAAGCATCTGACGGAATCATCTTTAGTTGAGGTTAATTGATCATTTCAGATCACACTTTAATAGTTACTCTGAGGTGCTTGAACTGTTATTCTTTGCTCTAGATATGTATTGTCTCCTCATTCCCCTTGGTTATAAAAGTGATTGATCTTTTCTGGACATCGAATCTTTTGAATCAGTTGGGTTCTGCTGTTGTTACTATTATTATTTTTTCTTTCTCTTCTCCCCAGTGTTTGGGAATGAACCTGGAGTCTTGCACATTGCAGGCTAACTCTCTCCCACTGAGCCATATTCATAGACTTGTCTTCAAAGGCAGCCTTAGAAATGCTATTTATTCATATACGATCTTAAGCAATAATATAATACTTTAGTTTTAGACTTAACATTTCCTTCTCTCCCTTTCTTTTTCCCTTCCTCTCACTCCCCCCGCCCACACTTTACTTTCTTTTTGTCCCTTTATTCTCCAGCAAAAGCCTTTTAGATGCCTCTGTCCCCACCCCTCACCCCTCCAACCTCCCCACCTCCATACTCCAGCACTAAACAGAGAAGGTGAGCAGCTTATTGTTTGCCCTTCAGAAGGTGTGCTCAACAGCTGAGGACACAGCACATATTTTAGAGAGACATATAAAGGAACTGGTGAGAGTACAAAGACAAAGAGAGGGTGGCGTCACATGGAGGTGCCACTACAGGAATAGTAGACATCGCCTTTTAGAAGACAAGACTCTCGGTTGACACCCCGAAGAAGGATAAGCTGCTGACACTGTTTTCATCATAGCACTGCATTTGTTTTGATAGGAACATTCTGATTAAAAAAAAAAAATCCGCCAAGAAAAATGGGGTGGTTGGTTTCTCCTCCTCCTCCCTGGAGTCTCCAGGAGCTCGGCGGGCATCCCTGGATGCCTCCTCCTCCCTTCTTACAGAAGGTGGCAAGCGGTAGCTACTGTGCTTAGGACTGTTTCACTAGACCTGTTTCCAGTGTTGCAGCCTAGTTAAGAGCGAGCCTTCAGGTCTACCCATCTGAAAAGATTAGCAAAGAGACGGCGTGACCGTTTGGAAAGAACCGCTGAGACCTGCTCATTCTTGTTCTCTTCAGATGAACAGTTGAGATGGGAATTCCTTTTAGGGGAATAAATAATCCACTGCTTTCTCAACCTCCTTTGATCTTACCACGGGTCCTCGAAGTTGGATCAAGGTCATGATTGCGTGTGTTTAGGCTTTTCGGTGTGTGTGACACATGCGTGCACATTCACGTACGGATGTGTATGTTGAAAGCAGAGGACACAACCTTAGATGTTTCTATGGCACCTGGCACTTTATTTATTTTGAGGCAGCGTCTCTCATTGGCCTGGAAGTTTCTAAAGAGGTAACGCTGTTGTACGGAAAACCCCAATGCTAAGATTCTAGGCCTGACTTTTTTCTACCTGGGTTCTGGGGATGAAACTCACGTCCAAATGCTGGCAAAGCAAGAGTTGACTGATGGAGCCATCTCTCTAGCCCCTAGTTTTTGTTTTGTTAGGTTTTGGTTTTTTTTGAGACAGAGTTTCTCTGTGTAGCCTTGGCTGTCCTGAACTCCCTTGGTAGACCAGGCTAGCCTCAAACCCGCAGATCCGCCTGCCTCTGCCTCCCCAAGTGCTGCGATTAGAGACGTGCGCCACCGCGCCTGCGCCTGCTTTTAAGGCCAAGCAAATCTTTTTGCCATCCGCTTAGCAGCATACTGAAGACACTGGACACATAGTCCCAGCGGCATGAGATCTAGATCAAGGTTTGTGAGAATGTAGAAACAGCTGTGGCTAATGAAATAAAGTGCTTCAGGGATTTAAGAGGGAACAGATGTGCTGGTCCACAATGTGCTCGCAGAGACTCACAGTAAAGGTCGTTTTAGTCGGGGAGAGCTCAGCATTCTACATGACTGTGCTCGTAAAAAGACCCTGAACTTGGGTCCAGCAGGCTTCTAAGTCATCGTGGCTCTTGTTTCAAGCCAAATAGGCAAGAGGTTTCCATCCAAAGCCAGACATGATTCCCTAAGGAATTTATCGTGGCATCTGAGGTCTACTGCCAGCATTTTGCCACCAAAGCTACACTTACTGCTTATGTGTTTTATTCTAACTATAGTTTACTTATTTTTCTTTAAAATATGTTTAATAAGAATAAAGGTTTATGTGTATTGGTGTTTTGCCTACATGTATCTGTGTGCATGCAGTGCCCACAGAGGCCAGAAGAGGGCATCAGATACTCTGGAACAGGAGTTAGAGGTAGTTGTGAGCTGCCATGTGGGTGCTGGGGATTGGACCTGAGTCCTTTGGAAGAGCAGCCAGTACCCTTAACTTTGAAACCATCTCCTACACTAGCCCCTAAGAGGAAAACTTAACATAGAACATTTCAAACATGAAAAAATAGGTGAATGAGTCTATTCAGGTATCACATAGACCCCCTAATTGCTGGCTTGTGACCAAACCTGAGGTTTTTCTGTTCTACCTTCTCCCTTCCCCTGGATGACATGCAGCTGTCAAGGCTCTGTAAGTTTCTCTTCTGTTGCTTTTCCTGAAAGCTCTGAGAATGAAGAATCATGTGCGGTTTTCATTTAAGCAGACCTGTCTGACCTATGGCCTGAGGTCTGCATGTGGTCAAAGAAGAACTAGGAAAGCCTCTAGCAGAAGAACTGTGAATTTGCTTAAAATATTTTGAGCTTTGTGTGTGATTTTCTTTCTAGTACCTTGATTGCCCCATTCTCTGAAGATGACAACTTCCTGTCACACTGTCAAAAGGTTGAACACAGATCACTGATTCCATTTCTAAGAACCCATTAACAGAATCTTCTTTGTATTCCCTTTAAGTTATTAGTTAGAGATAGAGTTTAATTGAGTTCAGGTTTAGTTTTTTTGGCACGCCTATTTAAGTGGCTCAGTACATTTCCATTGGTGATATCTGCTGGTTACTTGTCTCTTTGGGCATATTGGTGGACTGGCAGTCACAGCCTGGATGGTTTAACTCATTGGGGGTTGCAAATCACTTGTTCTCATTTCACTCATATTGCTACATCTTTTCCTGGAATATTTGTATAAATACTTTTTTTTTTTTTATAGTTACCAACTTTTGGTTCCCCTTGCATAGAGTTGTCTGGGAACAGAGGACGCATGCTTACCTTCTCCTTTCCCAAAGACTGAATTGTTCCCCAACATCCTCTAAAAGTGTCCACTGAGTTGTGTTCTTTAGTCTCCTTGTAAATTTGGACTTTAATAAGTTGCATATGCTTCACGTCCTGTTGATGCTCACATAACCCCATCATAAGCAAATGAACTTCCTTCATCCCTCCCACACTTTCTGGCCATCTTCTTGTGCTTTAGTTTTTGCAGTTTTCAGACTCACCTTTTAAGGTGCAGCCTTGGGCATGGAACCACCTGAGTTTTGTTTTTTTTGGGGGGGGGGTTGAGACAGGCATCTTTCACCCCTCCCTTTGCACGTGTATAGATGCAATGTGCATCCATACGTGTGTGCATGTTTGCCAGAGTGTAGACATGTGTGTTGAAGCCATGGCCTTGTGTCAGGTGACTTCCGTGGTTGCTCTCTACTTTACTTACTTAGTGAGGTGGGAGTCTCTTTCTGGACTAAATGCTTGCCAGCTCTGCTAGTCTAGCTATCCAGCCTGCCAGAGTATCCCTTGTCTCTGCCTCCTCAGGGATAGGATTATAGCTTAGGTGTCATATTTGCCTGGTTTTCAGGTGGGTGCTGGGAGTTGGACTCCGTCCTCATGTTTGCACAGCAAGCACACTAAGCCATTTTCCTAGCCCCATGAGTCCTTTTACAGCAACTTATTTACATCAACTCAAAGAGTGAAAGAATTAACATCTTCAGTGCAAAACTGTGGACGAAATTAAGTCAGGACAAACTGCAGACCTCCATCTTAAATCTCTCCAATTTCCATGAAACATAATAATGTACAAAATACCTCTTATGATAACCCAGAAATAATGACCAGCAGCACAGGCACCAAATTCAAACTCCTCCCATAGTTTTTGTTCTATAATAAGCATGGCCGGTATTACTAACTCACACATCAGACGCTCAAATAAGTGTTGCCAGTATCAGTGTTAGGACTGCCTTGAAACCTGTGTTTACACAGTTACCTCGCATGTGGGTATTCACCTGCATTTCACACTCAGCATAAAAGCTCAAGGACATCAGGGCCAGGGTGGGATTGGACAGCGCTTTCCTACTTGCCACAAAGCCTTTTTTTCGGTGAATCCTGGCCTTTATAAAGTTATCCCTTTGTAAATTGCCTTGTCTTTTGAGACCCCTCTAATCGCTGCCTCAACCTGCATGTGCCTGCCATGGGGAATAGAGAAGGCAGAACAGGTAAGAGAGAGACTGGCTACACTCAGAGTGGGCAGGGGCTCTTTGGCAGCTCTGTTCCCTTTGAACCCGCCTTGGCCACCTGCCAAGTCTAGCCAGTCCCACTGTTGACATCAGGGTTCCTACAAACCTTGCTTAGAGCTTCCCAAGCATGCTTTAGATTACAGATGATAACCCAAATTCACTACAGACAGGGTCACCCCGGTCCCAAGGCTTTAGCAAACGCAAGGAAGAGATGGGAGAAAATAGCTGCTTTGGATTCAGTGCTGTCCACTCAGCTGGGGGGGGGAATATCACATGGGCCGTTGTTCTGGAAATCATCTCAGTCGTTACTTATTTTTCTGAAAGTGTTCCCTTATTTGATGTTTAATTTTCCATTAGTGTACCTTTGCTGCGCAAAGCAATAAGTTTCATAATGAGCCTCCTGTTGAAGTGTGTCGTGTAGTTTGACCATATTCACATGCGTACTGCACTCAGCTACACCTCAGACGAATGCCGCTCACCTCATTGCCCTCAAGCTCCTGGCTGGCCCTGGCTTTGCTGAAGAAAT